ATAGCAAATAAATTCTCTAATAAAATTTTATTACTAAAAAAGGAAAGGGTCTAGGTTAATTTGCCTGAACCCGGGGGTTCATAATTTTCATCCTGAACTGGGGGTCAGGATAAGGACGCTCAAAAAATAATCGATCATCGGGATTTTTATGTAATGCATTTCACGTATACCGCCTGTGATACATGTTAAAATTTTCTGTTAAAGGCAATAAAACAACGTGTTATTAAGCTGGACAAGGTAAATATAAACATGAAAAAAAAAATTCCGTTAAAGGCAATAAACAACGTGTTGTTAAGCTGGACGAGGTAAATAAAAACATGATAAACTTGAAAGTAATCTTTTATCCTTTATTTCAACAAACAAAATGAACAACACTTCTTATGCAAAAGGAGATAAAAAGTTTTTCGGACAGTTAAAAGTATGATTGATTGTAAGCGAGTAAGGTGAGCTATCTCACTGAGTGATTGTTTAGTTATTATAAATCCAAATTACGCTGTCACTAGGATGCATGACAGACAGAGAACTGGAAGCGCATCGTGGCCACTGAGTCAGGTTATGAGAGCCAAGTAACCTGACTGGTGAACGTCCTTCTCTGTCTGCTTTGTATCTGAAAGATTATGGCGAGATTCCATGATTTGTGATGAATAGGATTTATGGATTATAAATACCCGTACTTGGTTCCTGTGTATTTACCTTGATGACAAAGATAACATTTACTCAAACGTTGCTATTTTATCATGTAGGACTTCTCAAGGCGACGGTGGAATAGATATGGTGGGAAATCAAAAAAGATGTTTGATAATTATTCAGTGTAAAAATTATACAAGAAAAAAAAGTCGAAGTTGGTGAAATTCGCGCTTTTTGAAAAGATACCCTGAAAATACTTTGGGAGTTTTTGTAACTTCTTTAAGAGATGGTTATTCACCTCAAGCAATGGATAAAAGGAATCATCAGAACGTCAAGACCTCTGATCGTATCACGTTTTTCGTGCGACCTAATTTTTCACATGTACAGCCTTTCATTTTTCGCTGATCTAACAATTCGACTTAATATAAAGCTAATTGGGTTAACCAGATTCTATGGATTACAACCCCTCATAGCATTTTAGCGCAAAGTAGTCACTGTTAAATTTTTGTTATATAATAGTATGCAAAATCCGTTATCCACAGTTAAGGTACGACGCACGAAGTGTGGAATCTCCCGATTCTAAAAAATAATCATTTTAATTAGTCGAATATGTGGACAAATGATCAGTTGCGCTTATTAATCGATGAACGAAAAAATCGAAATTCAGAATATTATGATATTGCGGGAAGTAGTAGGATGGATTTCTGGGATAGCGTTGCGAACAAGATAAATGGGCAATTTAGTACCGCATACACTGGATACCAATGCAAGTCGAAATTCCAAATCTTGTAAGAGACCATAAGGTAGGTATAATGGCGCTTTTTATATGCATAGCATTCTCTCATTGTGAGACTTACACTTTCTACCGTAATTCATACTAGTTAATGCGCCAGTACATGGCTGGAAACCATGCTGGGCGACGAAGCAAGGTTGGTGAACGATATTTGAGGAATTTCGAACTCTCCTCTGGGAGAGACCACGTAAGTTTATAAGCAAGCATTTTTATTGATTCGGGCCTAAAGGGAGGCATCGGGAATTATATCATATAATAATTTTTTTAGCTGGATATGAAAATAGAAACGACATTTTGATTTGGTGCATAATGCAAACATTGCCACAAGACGTGCTCAAGAAAGACGCCGTAACCGTACCCACCTCCAACTTATGAGGAAGTGTCATCAATGGTGAGTTATCGTGAATCTCCAGCTGGCCAAAGGGATCGATCGGCATCTCCCACCCGCAGAGTTCCTAGTAGAAGGGTTGAAGTTAGCAACCTGAAATGCAAGTAATATTGCAGATGAGACACGAGAAGTGAAAGCTTCATTACTTCGTAATAGTGACATTTCTCCCAAAATAAATTTGGGCCATAACGATTCCAGTAATTTATCATCCAATTTGACAAATATTACCCGACCCAATATATTCTTATCACGTAACGAAAGTGATATTAGTATGCAGGATGTGGGTGGTAGTCAACCACTCTCTTATATGGAATCTATAAACGAGGAAGAAAGATAAAGTTTATTGGTGTAACATATAATTATTTGATGCATTACTCCGTAATAAAAATTCATGATCAATACAATCAATAAAGTATCAATTATTTTTTATATCGGATTTGTGAAATGTAGGCTCAAAGAGCCATTGCTTTGCAATAAATCGTATATTAAAGTCATGCATGTGATATAGATCCCCATGTGATCGATGACTTAAGATGGGCAGGAGGTTATTAAACTCTGATCAGGAGTAACCGGCGATTGATTGCACATTAGAGTGAAACAAGAACAAGTTTCCATATGATTATGAGGAGACATTGTTTCAAGTAAAATACCAGTGTCATCAGGTTTTGAATGATCACAAGTCAAGAAATATAACTTTTGTCCCTGACCATTAACCCACCATTTACCAAGTACCCATTGATGTCGCTTCTTATAAAGAGGGCAAATACAGTCATACAAAGTCCAATACTTGTCATACTGGTGTTTACCTTCCTGCATCCAAGTATTCTCGAAATAGATTTGCATTTATGTGTCAATCACAGTTGGGGCATTTGTTAATTCCATATGCTCTGTCAACTGTCATAAGTAATCATACATAACTGGAAAATATCTACACGAGTAATTTTATGTGTCAGAGACACTAGCTCCGCTATAAATACAAATGTCTAAACTCAAGATACTTTACTTTTCCATACTCAACCATATCACAAAAATAATTTTGAGTTAGATTTAAAGCGCACAGATTCAAAATCTTTTTGAAAATCAAAACTCTACTAATAATCAAACAAACACAAACAACTTAGTTGATTCTGTCTATTCAATAAATGACATAAATTTCATACATATAAAACCTTAGATTTTAACAAATCACTTTAAACTAGTATTAAAAAAATTTCAAGAAAATATTCTCAAACAATATCTAAGTCTAGCATGTGTATATTGTGCAAGATTATTATATCCAGAGAAAGCAAAATGGATTGTCTATAATCAAGAAATAA